ACAGGACAAGAATAGACACAGCAGCCGGGAACAGAAAATCATTATAACCCTCCTTGGCTACTCTTGAACAAGCAGACTATGACATGATATGGCACCATGGGACCATAGGACAGATGCTTTTGTTACCTGTAAATGTTTATTCTTCCCTGCCATCTCCTTCCTTCTCTGTTCCTTCCCTCTCCATTCTGCTTTTGAGCCCCCACAAGCATTTAATGAACACACAGTTGGAGTGCAACAGAAACAAGAGAAGTTTTATTCATAGATTCATAGATGCTAGGGTCGGAAGGGACCTCAATAGATCATCGAGTCCGTCCCCCTGCATAGGCAGGAAAGTGCTGGGTTTAGAAGACCGCAGCTAGATGCTTATCTAACCTCCTCTTGAAGACCCCCAGAGTAGGGGAGAGCACCACCTCCCTTGGGAGCCCATTCCAGACCTTGGCCACTCTAACTGTGAAGAAGTTCTTCCTAATGTCTAGTCTAAATCTGCTCTCTGCTAGCTTGTGGCCATTATTTCTTGTAACCCCCGGGGGCGCCTTGGTGAATAAAACCTCACCAATTCCCTTCTGTGCCCCCGTGATGAACTTATAGGCAGCCACAAGGTCGCCTCGCAACCTTCTCTTGAAGAGGTCCAGGTGCCCCAGTCTCTCTCCGTAGGGCTTGGCCTGCAAGCCCTTAACCATATGAGTGGCCCTTCTCTGGACCCTCTCCAGGTTATCCACATCCCTCTTGAAGTGTGGCGCCCAAAACTGCACAAGTGTGGCGGTCCAACTGCGGTTCGACCAGCGCCCGATAGAGGGGAAGTATCACCTCCTTGGATCTATTCGTCATGCATCTGCTGATGCACGGTAAAGTGCCATTAGCTTTTCTGATGGCTTCGTCACACTGCTGACTCATGTTCATCTTGGAGTCCACTAGGACTCCAAGATCCCTTTCCACTTCCGTTCCATCAAGCAGGTCATTACCTAGGCAGTAGGTATGCTGGACATTTTTGTCCAGCATACCTACTGCAAGTTAATTTAATGTCCAGGGATTGGGGCAGTCCTCTCTGTGGGAGGGGGCTTTCACATGTTTCTCCATGAACCAGCCTCCTCTACCACTGTCAGGGCCATGACTTGGCCATCTCTTCTCCCTTCTCTTTTTTCCACTCTATTGTGTTTCCCGTCTAAACTGTTCCCCTGCTGAGCCCAATACTGCTTTTAAGAAACAAGCCCAGTTGCTTATGCTCTGTAGGCTCTGGTCAGGTGTTGTTGCTTCCCTCCTTGTTAAGTTTTACATACAATAAAATGAGCTAAATTCTGAAGCACTCTTCCCCTGGTAACAGAACAGGCTTTTTTCCCCACACAAGAAGTTAAATTCCATGGAAACTAGGATAAATATGCAGAGTTAGTGAGGTAACATACAGTTTTTTTAAAAACTTTTCCCTGGCAGGCTGCTATGAGTGGCTTCCTAGAATCTATTCACAAAAGAGGAAGACAGAAGTCAAGCATTTCAGCTGCAAATCTGGCATGGGGGTAAGGGAACCCTCTCCCTTTACCCACACAAACAGTAGAGGGAGGTCCTGTGAGTGCCTGTGCAGGGTCAGCTAACAGGAAAATCCAAATATAACCTCTCTAGGAGGGTATCATTTGTAGATGAAGGGTCTTAAACTTGGCTACTGCACATGTGACTCTGAGTCAGTTATGGTCAGGGCACATGTTGCTTGTAACCAGAAGAACAACAGAGTGCATGTGCTAACCTTTCCCAATCCCTGCCAGTTTGGCTTCTGAAGCAGAGTTCTTGCTAGACAGCATATCTGCTCCCTGTTTGCTGCATGAGCCAGAGTAGGAAATATTTGAGAGCAAACAGTTGTGGAGAATTACTTTCTCCTTTCTCCTGTACTGTTTCTTCCAATGCTGTAACCTGTGCCCACTCTCAAGCAGGGAGATGCTTATCTATAGAGAGCACTGGCTTCATCCAATATAACTATGGCATGCTTCTTGGTCTTGATATTTTTTTTTTAATTCTATAAATAGCTTAGTGGTGAAATACTATTCTAAAAGGCATTGAAATGCCATGGCACTAAAAGGGAACCCATGCATAAGCTTGCTATAACTTGCAGGACTGTTCTGATAGTTAGTGCCAATGAATATGTTGGAGCATATATACTTACAAGTCTTGGCCTATTCCCACCCCAGCCATGGAGCTACAATCATTCAGAATCATCAGAGGGACATCCCTGGGAAATAAAAGCATTCTTTGGAGAAGTGATGTTAGCCAGAGAGGAGAGTGTATTCTCTGTCCTGGCCAAAGCAGGAGCTAACTTTAAGAAGTGAGGAGTAGGTCTTCTGCCTAGATGTGATTTCATGACAGCTGTTACAAGTCCCCATGCTGTCAGAGTGGTTCACCTTGCTGTCAGAGTGGTTCTGCTGAGTCTCTTCCAAGCATTAAGCCCCATGGTGATTCTGCTATAATCTTCCTTTACCATCTTTCTCAATTAGCGTGGATAAGAAAACTCCTAACAGAAGAGACCCCTGTTCCAATTTTGAATCAATATCATTTTTGTTTTTCAATTTAAAGCTTTATGTCTATGGCTTTACCTTAACTTTGACTGCTTGTACCCAGTCTTTTTGTGAAGCAACTTCATCTGTTTTAACTGCCAGATTTTTTTTTAAGTGTTTGGGGCCTGTCCAACACAACCAGACCATGCAGCTTTATATCTTATCACTGGCATCCCTGAAGGAAATAAAATCCTGCAGAATAAATGTTCTTAAACCCGAAGTTTTTCTTGGCAGAGAGATCAGTAGTGTAAATGTTGCATATTGTGTGTGTGTCAAGGATTTGAGAGGGAACAACACTGGTTCAGCTACAACTGTGTTTGAATATTGTGGCTGATGGGAGGCTTTTAATAAGATTTCCCTAACCTCTGTGGATGGGTCTTTTTTCTCCTGAGAATCACATTAATCAAAGTTTGCTTTAAGTTATTCGCAAGAACCTTGCCTAATGTTTCTCCAACTGGCACACACACACACACACACACACACACATATATATATAACCTTTTGGGGAGTGCAGCAGGTGCCTACAGAGTACATGACAGGAAGGAAGGAGAAATAAAAAGGGAGGGAAAAGAAGAAAAGGAAAAAATGAAGAACGCCTCTAAAATATCTCTAAGTATTTTGGAGAAGCTCCAGTTTAGTTGTAATGACATCAAGTGTTACTCACATATGAATACATCCCTCTTACGCACGGTTCCAAGTAGCTGTGAGAGCAGATGAGGCCATAGTCATCCACTCTTGGAATTTCCTGTAGTCTTTGTTCTAAATCTTAAAGACAGAATTCTGTTAACAATTATTTAACTTTCTTTTAGTTTTTCAAGACTCCACAAGCCTTCGTATTGTGCTGAACTCTAAAACACTGGTTTAAAACTTAGATTTATGTACCCATACATTATATTTAATCCTAGCCATTGATCTACACTGAAAAACACAGTCATTCTGTAGAGAGAGTTTGAGTGTGTGTGTGTGCATGTGTGGATGCACATGTGTACACACACAGAGAAGTCTAGGAGCACTCTTACCTCCCTGGAAGGTAGAACTGGCACTTACTGGGGCAGTTGTCTTGGTTGAATTCTAGGCCCTGAAAGAGTGAAAACAAAATAGAGGCATTGGTAATTGCATGCAGATGCCCAAGGTTATGTCCACAGAGAGAGAGAGAGAGAAATGCAGCTTTCTATCTGCCCATGCCTCTCTCTGACCCAGTAGCTCAGTAGTTTTTTTCCTCATCCAGAATGAATTGCATGTGCCCTGATGAACTCAATTCATGTCAAACACTACATGAAATGGGATGACGGACATGAGAGGAGATTGTGCCACATCACATTCCTTTCAAACTGGGGTTGGACCTTTCCTGTCTTTGCATTCCAAACAGATACCAAAATACAAGTTTAAAAACAAAAACAAAAAACCACATAACCTAAATACATGTAATTATCTAGAGGCTGAGAACTGTGACAAAGCAATGCTGACCGTAACATCTTTTATTTTGGATTGATTGCTAGAATTGTGTGTATATTGTGCAGTATTATCTTTGCCAGATCCTACAAGCATTGTGTTGAATGCATCCTTCTCTTCATCACTGACTTAAAAAACCTTAAACCTGCGCTTCTTATTGCAGACAGTTGGGAGGGAATTGCTGCTTCATTTAATACAATTCCTGGTAGGCAAGGATCAGCAAGACCCAGTCATCACAAAACTACTCGATAACACCCGGATTCATATCATGCCATCAATGAATCCAGATGGATTTGAAGCTACAAAAATACCTAATTGTTATTTCTCAAAAGGAAGGTAAGGTGTGTGTGGAAGTGGGCAGAGGAAGTGGGTGTGCATTTTTTTTAATAGAGGGGGTATGCCATAACAGGTGAGTAATTATTGTCAGCTTAGAGATAAATTTGGCCTGTGGTGTTCTGAAGACATAATGCTATGACATGAAGGTTGGCAGCGGACTGATCCAAGCCTCTGTTTGCTTGTGAGTGTGTGTTCTTTGAGAGAATTGATCACAGTTTAAAGTGCTTTAAACTTTAAGCTACATATATCTGGTTTCTAAATAGAAATACAACATTTCTGGATCCCTAGGGTGCCAAAAATGAAAATAGTCACAGAATTAATGGCAGGCAAGAGGACCTTTTCTTCATTTTCAGATTAGATAGAGGATGGCTGTTTTCAGTTTGCTGGACAAAAAGAAAATGTTTAACACTACAGATGTTCAAACCCAGCTTGTCATCTCTCTCATCAACAAAGAAAACAATATAACAGTTCTGAAACAAATTTGTCGATGCTTTTATTTAATAAAAGCACTGGTTCCCAGCACTGCCATAAGCCTACTGTAAAATGCTTTCTGCAGCTCAGATGATTTGTGTTCTGCATCAGTTGCAGGCAGAATGGACCACTAGAGAGGGCTCTGTCCCTGAGGAGATGCTGTGTAGTGGCTTCTACCAAAACAGTATTACTCAGATAATTTAAGGCACTTCTTCAGCTGTCCACCCCAAAGCTTGAAGCCCATACAGCAGCCTTTTCAGTTCCAGATCTGACTTTCAACAAATTTAGATAGCTGCTGATATGTCTGCCATTCTTCCATGATGGCTGAGCTGATGCTAGGTCAACAACAGGAAAATTATGTGAAGCCTCCAAAGACTAGGCTTTGGTTACGCTGGCAAAACATCCATAGTGACAAAAAAAAGTTTAAGAAGTTCATCCCATTGCGGGCAGTCTTGGAAACAGCTGAGTGCAAACTGTGCTGAACTCATAGCTATGAGGGGAGGAACCAGAAGCATGGCAGCAGAGCTTTTGTTGGTAGCTGTATGAGCTTACTGGCTGGTCAGAGTGGGGCTTGCCTGGAGTCACTGCTCACATGCAGCTGTGGAACCCAGGGGGTGAGTGCTGTTATGATTCACTTTGCCCTTCCCTTGCTCCCCACTACCCCAATTACCCTTGATTTCAGCAGCAAGGAAAAGAAGGGACAGAGGGAGTACAGACAGGGGCTGTGCACTACTGTCGCCCATCCCCTCTCCTCCGTTTTCCTGCTGCTGATAGGGAAGGAAAGAGAGTGGAAGAGCAAAAAGCAGTGGCACTCATTCCCTGGGCTCCAGAGCTGCTTGAAAGCAGGGTCTCTGGGCAGATGAGCGTTCTTTACTGCCCATGCAGCACACTGCTGAAGGGGGCAGGGCCATATCCCTGTCAGCGCAACCCTGGATCTGCCCCATGGCAGCTGTGTAAGGAATCTGTTGTAGAAGGAGTGTTTGTGTAACACTGCCCTGTCTGCAGTCCTTGCATGTTATAATGCAAATTGCTACAGAGATCAAAACAGGGAAGAAAATTAAAAAACCTAGAAAAAGGAGAATAAAGAGAGAGCACAGACAAAGACAAAGAAGAAATGACAGGAAGAAGGAAACCAGAGGAACACATTTGGGAAGATACAGAAAAGCAGAAAGTGGCCAACACAACTCTTACTAATACCATAGGAGTACTTGTGTAGCTAAGGACCAAGATCTTTTGGATCTTTTACTTTAGCTGCCATAGCAGCGTTAGGGGGAACCAATTTGTCATGTAGATGCACATACTACTTGGCACACTACACAACTAAATTAGGCCCTGTTTAAAATAGCTTACTCCTGAAACAAGTAGGTCTTTTGTGGGGGGGGTTCCAGTGACTGAAGCATCTTGGGGGTTGACACTAAAAAAATGAAATTGTTTAAAAGGAACAAATCCGTAGCTAAATGCTAATCACACTGACCTTGCAGTAGAGGAGAAAGGAAGAAGTATGGGATTGGTGAAACAGGTTGGCACTCCAAGTACTCTGAGATGAAAAGGGCATCCTTTTGCTAGGTGCATTGTTTTTACTGCTTCACACTGAGGATGATGACATTACAAGTGGCTCAGCCATAGGAAAGACACATGCATTCCCAAACAAGCAGAAAAAACACGCTTTGCATTCTCTATTTGACTTATGCCACAATATTGTTTTTGCTGAGAGACAGAAAAGGAATCAGTGTTTTCATTTGAAATACTCTTGTCATGGTAGAATAATTATTCTATTGTATTCAGAGGTCAATGACTTCTATGATGTGGAATTATGTCAGTTTATTTGATGGTTAAATGAGAACAGCTTCATGCTCATTTACCTATGCACTGTTTAAATAATCCTGTTTCCTCCGGACACTAGCACATCACAGAACCAAAGCATTGTAAATCATTTAAGATTGATCAAGTTGTTGGAAATGTCTACATGCAAACAAATAGGATTTTGTTTTTTCTGTAAGATACAATATGAATGAAGAAGATCTGAACAGGAATTTCCCTGATGTCTTCAAAAGTAACTGGGTCCAAACTCAACCAGAGACTGAAGCAGTGATGAAATGGATACAAAACGAAACATTTGTTCTTTCAGCTAACTTGCATGGTGGGGCACTTGTTGGCAGTTACCCATTTGATAACGGTTACTCAGGTAAGCTAATACCTGTGCTTCTCCTTTAAGAGCTTTAGTAAGAAAAAAACAAAATCCCTGAAATTTTGAACAGGGCCTTGCAAACTTAGAGCTGAGGGAGTGGGGTGGAGAAAAATGATTGACCAGGAGGAAGAAAATCTTTTAGAGGTCAAAAAGGTAGAATAAATAAAGTAAGAATTGACAAAGGCTTAAGTGAATTGGACTTTGCAAAGAAAATTAAAACAAACAGTAAGTGCTTCTTCAGTCATATTAAACAGATGTGGTGGGGCACAGTTGGGGTGCTTGCCACGTGGCAGGGACTGCAGTAGACTGGGACAAAGCTGGTAGAGAAGGCAGCCAAGTGAAGCCCCTGAATGTCATGATTAAGGGGGAGAGGTGTGTGGTGGAGCACCGTTGGAGGTGCTCGCCACTCAAGGACTTTCACAGGCTCTGAGAGGAGCCTGCCTTGGCGAAGCAGCAGGGGGAACCTCCCCCAGGAACTGTTCTAAGGTGGGAGGTGTGTGGCAGAACAGCCCCCAGGAAATGCCAGGCCAGTTACCACCTCGGTGGAAGGTGAGTAGGGGAGCCTAAACCCCAGCCCCTGCCTTCGGGTGGGTTATTTAACATCGGAAGCAGTTGGGGCCAGGCATGGCTCTGGCCACTTGAGCCCACGTGGGGTGCAAGACCCCGAGGAGTGAGTGTGTTGGGCCAGACACACCAGTGAGTGGCACCTGAGCCTGCAGTTGGGAGGCGTGGAGAGCCTAGCAAAGAGCATGGAGCCTAATGAAGAGGCAAGGGGCCCAGAAGTTAGGAGCCCCAACTGTGCATGTGCGGGGGAAGGAGCCCAGGGAGAGTGAGGGGCTCAGAGCCCAAGGAGAGAGGCCAAAGTTAGGGGCCGGGATATAGTTACAACATGTGAATGCTGAGAGGGGTGAGTAGTGAGGCCCTGTGAACAGGGGGCCCAGGATGAGGCCCTGTGAGGAAAGGGTGCGAAGTGGGTCCTGGTGAGCAGGGGGCTCGAGGGTAGGCCCTGCTAATGTGGGGGCTAGGTTAGGTCCAGGTAAGCCTTCAGGGGCCTGAGGCCACACATGGGCCAGAGGCCGATTGGGTGGGGCGGCTGAGGAAGTGCCGCGGGCAAACATCGAGGCGAGTCAGGAGCCCCTAATTCAGAGCAGCTGGGTGAGTGACCCAGTGAGGGATGAGAGGCAGAGTCACTCCACTGTTCTGCAAGCCGCCCAGTGCTCGCTTGGATGAAGGTCATGGGAGAGGCCCAAGAGGCCATGTGCTTGCTGGCTGGGGAGTGCAGGGAAACAAGCCCCAGGACCCTCCAGGAGAGGGCAGGGGGAGTGTGGCCCCAGGAAAAGGAGGGGTGGTATGAGAGTAGCCCTGCAAAGGGGCAGTATGAGAGAGACCGCATGAGAGGTGGTGGAGTGAGAGAGGGAGGCAGTATGACTATGGACCGTGATAGGGCAGAAAGTGAGAGGCCTAACACTGGGATGAGTTGAGCCCAGCCTGAGGCTGGAGCAGAGCTGTTAGGAACATCTGCAAGGCTTGGGATGTAGTATAGGGGTGGTTGGAGCTGCATACATAGGCCCAGGAGAACATAGGCTTCCCGCCTAATTAAGACCTTAATTTTTGAACAACAAGGCATGGCAGGAGAGAAAGGTGGGCAGCATGCCCAGAGGCAGGTGGGAGACTAGCACTGTGGCTAGTCCAGGAGTTCCCACTTTGCCACACAGGAAAGAACAAGAAGGCTGTTGAGGTTGCTTGGATTGCTAGGCGAGCGACAGGGAGGTTAAGGAGGAGGGGGCTGGCTTTCCTCTGTAACATGAGGCATGGTGCTCTTCCTAGGATCATCAGAGCATGTGTTTATTTAACTAATTTCCATTACAGACCTACCACACCCTTTTTCTGTCCTTTTTTCCTGTGGGATATGTTGGGACACAAGAAACTGATAGGCAGGTTTGAGGGCTTCATATTTTTTGTGAAATACAGAGCTATTCATTGTAACATTAATCAGGGTCATACCATGACCATCTTCATTACACAGATATGGTAACTACAAAGCGTTATAGTGCAACCAAAGATGATGATGTTTTCAGATACCTTGCAAAATCCTATGCTTCCCACCATGCCACCATGTCCAGAGGGATTTCATGTGGTACTTCAAATGTGGAAAGCTTTCCAGGTGGTATTACAAATGGATATTCATGGTACCCATTGGAAGGTAAGAGTGTCAATGTTTTCCTCTCATCTTCATTGCTTTTATTGTATGCTTGGACACAGGCTTGTTCCTGCACTCCATAACAGCTGTGGCTTTACCTGCAATACAATTTTTTGAAGTCTGAACTGACTGCCAGCGAAGTTGGTAGGTGCAAACATGTTGCACCTGTTATTGTGGACACTGTCAAGCAGAAGCATTTGCAGTCTCTGAACTAGCACATAGGTGAATGTTGCCCTGAGCCTTTCTGAATAGGGATCCAAATCTAAACAACAACAGCCAGCTTCCACTGACTGGGTCTTCAGCTCCTCCCTGTGCTTCGGCCCATGTCTTTTGCTGTTTCTCTAGCAAAAATGCAACTAGCTGGAGAGCCCTTCCTTAATCAGCTTGCACAGATCACTGCTGATTGACAAGCTACTGCTAAGGCTTCCCCTTTCCCTTCTGCTGTCAACCTGTTTTTATGCATTAACATAGATGCACAAATATATTGAGCCTCTTGGGCAAAAATCCTACTACCTATACTAGTCAATCAAGTGTAGGGCCACTACTGGCAACAGGTTTCATCTGGAATAGCTAAGATCAAATCTGCCACTTTCTTTTAGAAAGGAGAGAACTAATACCACTATCTTGTAATAGCTTTCTACCTGGCTAATTACTGAAATGAATGCACTGATTTATTTCTGTATGTAGTTAACCGTATACATGCTCCTGGTTAACCACACTCTGTGGCTTCATATTGTTACGAGAAGTGACACTGTACAAGTTTAGAAGGCTATTTTTGGTCATCAACTAGTATTTTTTTCACCAAGCTTGATGAAGCCTTTGTACTTCCCAAAAGTCTCCTTATTACTGACCATGCCAGACCTTGTTCCAAATGTGGATTTGTCTGTCCCTGAATGGTTACGAACATTTTCACAAGAGCTAGATTGTCATGTAGCAGGTTAGGGAAGATTTGACATTTCCTCACCCCCTTCTTACTGATTGCTGCTCTCAACATTAATCATTAACACTTACTTTTAGGTGGAATGCAGGATTATAACTATGTCTGGGGACAGTGTTTTGAAATTACATTGGAGCTGTCATGCTGTAAATATCCACCAGAAGGAAAACTGAAGCAATTCTGGAATGACAACAGGGCTTCTTTGATTGAATACATTAAACAAGTTCATCTAGGTGAGTAGGCTTTGTTATTTTAACAGCTAGTAAAGCTGAGCTGCTCTGACTTGGGAATAGAAATACTACCTGCTCTCCAGTGGCCGGCTAGAACTGAGAGCTGCTGCTATCAGGTTTTCTTGGTTCTTGTTGAATTAACAAGGTAGATAGCAGAGCTGTGTGTGCCCTTCTCATTTTAGAAACCAGGTAATGAGCATGGGAAGCATTGATTGGAAACCTCACAAGCCACTGACCACGCAGAGGGTCAATTTTTGCAGCCCTTCTTTACATAAATACAAATCCAGAGACCTTGCAGCTGCTTGATGAAAGGGATGTGTTGTCACTTCCACTGCAAGTGTTTTTTTTTACTGAGTGCCACAGGGAGCTCACAGGTTTTCCAGTCAGATCTGCCAGGTAGGTCTGCCTTTGGAGTCCTGCTTTGACTGCAGGAAGAGTTTGCTGAATCAGAGGTGTTTTGAATGAAGTATTGTGGGCCCAATGAACCAGAATTTTTAATCAAAACTTTGCTCCATCAGAACATTTCCAGCAGTCTCTCTCTTATGCAGATCTACCACACAGATGAAGTCACTAAAAATAATGTCTTGCATTCACCTGGAGATTCAGGAAAATTGAGTACAAACACATGACAAATCCCATGGGCTGTATTGAGGATGAGGCACTCTGAGCAGTCACAAATATTTCAGCCTCTGGCAGTCAGTAATGGGGATGTGCCTTGCTTTCCAGTTCTGCCCTCCAACACTGCAGGTTTGGGAGGGAAAAGAAGAGGCACAAAGACCTTAGGATTAGGAGCTACAGGGGATTTGGCATTGACAGATGTGCCAAACAGCTCCTGGTGCCAAGCGGCTCCTGTGCCTGGGAAAAACTGGGACCCGGTAACCCCTGCCCTGGCTACCCTATCCCTGATGGTGCTAAGCAACAGGGACAGGGCATCCTGGAAGTGTCCCTGATGGCTCCTGCTGGGTGGGCTGTCAGGGATCCAGTTTCTGTCCTTTCCTCCCTCCCTCTGCCTTGGAGGTGGAAGGGAGGCAGAGCAGAATACTGTGAGATTGTGGAGGTTTAGAGACCTGGCTAGGTGTCAAATTTGTCTTGGTACAACAAAGGAGTTGCTGTTTGAATTGGCAATTTCTTGTGGGACTGCCATGTTTGTGTGGCAAATCAGCCATTATTCTCTTGGGACAAATCCCTTCAATATTTGGCATGCTACTGTGCATTGTGAGAGAGATGCATACATCCTGCAACAATGCAGCATCCTGAGGGGGCCTCCAAGGCAGCTGGCAGTGGCTACTGTGCCAGCTCCAAAGGTTCAAAATGTGTTAATCAGTCACACCAAAAGATTTAAGATATTGGTCTAAAACTGAGGCTAAAAAGAAAACACCCTGGATTCTCATTACTTGTGCTTTCTGGTCCTTTAGCATCTACTTGGGGCACGTTTTTTCAAGTGTTTTTCCATGGCATTGAGATCCGGAATTGTACTTTGTTCACTAAGATACCACAGCTTGAAAAAAACAAAATGCTGCAAGATTTGGTAACACTAACCGTCATGCCCATCTCTTGTAATACTGGCCCTTGTGGAAACAACCTAAGCACCTCATCTTGATCTGCACAAGAATGAGGAGGAGGAATATTTGCCCATGTTCCCATAAACAGGGTCTAAACAGGAACCTTGCCTGTTAGCTCAGGGTGGTGACTCGTGACCGCAGAGGAGCCCTTCCGGCCGCACACCCCCAGCATCAGGGAGGCACCAAGCCCTAAACTACTTTTCTAAACCTGTGGTTTGAGATTGAATGGTCTTTAATTTTCTGTGCAGTGCGGTACACCTAAAATGGTAACTGTCACACTTCGGAGAGTCCAAGGGCTCTGAACAATTAAATGGCTGGAGCGGGGGTAGAGATGGGAGAGTTTTTGTATTGGGATGCTCGCTAACTAAAGACTAGAGCTTTGGATTCCTTTTACAGAGAAACAGCCTGTGTTAAGGAATTAGGTTTTTTATCAGTAATGCGTAGCGATGCTGCCCCCATGTGGTCAAAAACTGTACAAGTGGGCGGCAAGGAACGGAGGAGCGTGGGTGATTTTAAGTGAGACCAACCATATATAAACGGCTTATACTCCCATGTATAAGCTGCCTTTCCATTCTGGGCCCTGTACAGTAGCTTGTTTCTAGTTTTCATGTGAATTCCTTATGAATCCATGAGGCCATTCAGTGCTCAAAGACAGACCTGCTTGGATGTGCTCTAATTCCTTGTCCTGGAAAGAAAAGGAAGGAGCAGATTTCTATTTAACAGAGCTCTGGTATTTTATAGTGAACTAGAGAGTCACAGGGTCTATAGAAACGTAGCATTTGTTTTTTAAACAAAAATAAGTGTAGAAACTGGTCTGGACACCAGCAGGCATGCCATGCTTTAATTGCCGTAGTGCCTCAGGTTTCCAGCCCACATGGAAGGACTGTGCTCTGTTGGAACTGGGCAAGTAAAGCAGAGAAGTCTCAGGCCTCAGAGAGTGCATAGTTCATGGGATCTCCTTGGAACTGGCTGGGGGTGGAAGCAAGGAGGCTATCAAATACAGGTTTCCCTCGATTTATGCGGGTTCTTTATATGTGAATTTGTTCTTACACGGTGAGCATATTTAGACCCATAATTCGTTATATGCGAGGTAAATGCACTCTTATGTGCTCAGCATATATGTCCCCACCACCCAAGCAGGTAAGTCTGTGGGGGGAGGGGAATGGGCCGTGGCCCCGCTCACCCCCACCCCAGCTGCAGTGGCCCTGGGAGCAGCCTGCAGCTGCTGGGCTGCACTGTACTCTGCCTGTCCCCCCGCGCCTGGGCTCACCCCATCTCTTGGGCCCCGGGCATAGCCGACATCAGCTGCCTGTACCAGGGCACAGTATAGCCCAGGAGCAGAGGTGAGTGGGGACAGGCAGAGCATGTTGCAGCCCAGTGGTTGCAGGCAGCTGGCGTGGGCCGCTGCAGCCGGGGCTGGGGTGAGTGCCACTCTTTTCCCTCTGCTTTGCTGCCTTGTGCAACCTCAGGAGCGGCACCCCTCCCCCTTCCCTAGTCCCAGTCTCACTCCCTCCCTCTCTGCCATGGGAACCTATCCCTATTTGTTACATTGTAAAGTGGATTCATTTTATGCGCTGTTCTCTGGGAACACATGTACAGCATAAATTGACAGAAACCTTGTAACTTCCTTTCAAGGGAAAAAAAGATCTTTCTTGACAAGATCTGTCATTGGAGTGTGACTAATCTTTCACATGCTAGCACACCTAGAGGTCCTACCTCAAGTTTTACTTAAGATCAGTTATTCCATGAAAGTTTACATGTAAAAGTGTTCTGATACACCCTCTCTCTGTGGTAGAAGAGCCTTTGAGGTGAATGGCACATGGCATGCCAGGATGTGCAGTTACCATTCACCATGCTTCTCAGTTTAACAGCCAGGGTGCTGCAGCACTTCCTGGTGTGGCTATTCAGCATGGACAATCTAGACTGGACTGCAGCTTTCTTTGCAGTGTGACTCCAAAGAGATTGTGCAGTGACCTGGCTGTTTCTGTTAAGGGGCAGTGTCTGGATGGTTTTTAATCAACTACTCGTTTCTTTAAATACAAAAATTGGATTTAATTATATTTTTTATTTTTTTGTTAAAATGCTTTTAAAAAATAAACTATCAAGATAGATATGTTAAAGGTCAAAGATATATAATTTTGGAATAGGGATTATAACTTCTAATTATACTATTTGAGACAATATAGTCATGTAACCTTTTTAAAACTTTTATAAATAGGTCACAACAGGCCATGGACTATTAGGGGCCCATTCTTATGGGTTTCCCAGAGGCTCCTCTACAAATTAGTATAGATTAAAGAAAACCACTCTACCCAGTGGGAACGCTCTACCCAGTACTCTGTTTAGAAAATCCCATTAAGCATCTCCGTGATGCTTAGTTTCAATTATCAATGGATTTGTATCTCCAGAGATAACATCCTTGTTAACAGCAGTATATGGAGATGAGAGCTAACAGACCTGATTATCTACCCATCATCCTGTCTCGGACGGCCAGAGCCGACTCGAGGTGATTTAATAATTACTCATTCGTTGGGTGGGCTGGTGAATAGAGAGGCGGACAAGGCTTAATTGGTTGCAAAACTTTACTTATGCCGCTTGCAGCTGCGACGCTGATGGTCCGGTCGTATGAACAACTATGTTAGTTGTTCCAGCTGGCAGCAAGGGTATGTCGAGGATTGCGCTCGGCGATGGGGAGAAGAATCGATAGGTGATCAGTCTATCGATCAGCTCAGCCGCAAGTCAGATCTCTTTAGAGGCACTCTGCAGCGTGCTCAAAGTTCTCCGACTTGGGCGGAAGTTGCATGAAATTTTAAACAGCCAG